TAGATAGATGGATAGATAGATAGATAGACAGATGATTGATTGATAGATAGATAGATAGATAGATAGATAGATAGATAATAGATAGATACATAAATAGATAGATGAAAGAAAAAGAAAAGATTTTTAAAAAATACTCAATGATAGAAGCATGTAGGAGAATTCCCTTAGGGCTTTGGAGCATTTGTAACTTTATTTTTCCTATTGCAGAAATCTGGCTGAAGTTAACTTTAACCTGCTGGGGCTGCATTTACTAGATAATTTCAGTAATCACATTTATTAGAAAATTGAAGATGTATAAGATTGGTCAGTTACTCCAAACTTCTTTGGTGGTTTTGCTATTTTAAGAATGGATTACAGGCCGGGTGTGGTAGCACATGCCTATAGTCCTAGCACTTGGGAGGCAGAGGCAGGCGGAGCTCTGTGAGTTCAAGGCCAACTGGGGCTACAGGGAGACCCTGTTTCAGAAAAAGACAAAAACAAAAAACAAAAAAAAGGAATGGATTACAGATGGAACTAGAGAAATGACTCACTCAGCAGTTAAGAGCACTTACTGCTCTGGTAGAGGATCCTGGTTTGGTTCCCAACATCTGCATGACATGATGGCCCACAACCATCTGTAACTCCAATTCCAAGGGACCCCGGCACCATCTTCAGGTCTCTGCAGGCACTAAGAATGCATATGTACATGTGCAAGCAAAGCACTTGTACACATAAAGTAAAGAGAATAAATAAGTCTTTTAAAAAACAATGGATTAAGGGGCTGGAGAGATGGCTGCATGGTTAAGAGTGCTTACTGCTCTTGCAGAGACCTGGGTTTGGTTCCCAGCATCCACATCAGATGACTGACAAGTGCCTATAACTCCAGTTCCAGGGAACAACCTCTAGCCTCCACAGGGACCTGCATGCACATAAACTCACACAAGCACACACACATACACGAAAAGAATGGATTAAGGGCTAGAGAGATGGCTCAGTGGTTAAGAGCACTGACTGCTCTTGTAGAGGATCCGGGTTCAATTCCCAGCACCCACATAGAGACTACAAGCCATCCTTAACTCCAGTTCCAGGGGACTCTGAAGCCCTCTTCTGACGTCTGCACCATTGTACAACACAGGTGCACTCACATACATGCAGGCAATACACTCATACACATAGAATAAAAATAATAATTAAAGGCCAGGCATGGTGGCACATTGCCTGTAGTCCTAGCACTTGGGAGGCAGAGGCACACAGATCTCTGTGAGTTCAAGGCCAGCCTGGTCTACATAGTGAGTTCCAGGACAGCTGGGGCTCCAGGGAGACCCTGTATCAAAAAGACGAAAAGAAAAAAAAAAAATAATAATAATAATAATAATAATTTTTAAAGAGTGGATTAAGCAACATTTTAATTTTATGTCTTTTTGTTTTGCAGCTTTAACTGCTTATACTTACCTGACCATTTTTGATCTTTTTAGGTACGTTTCTCAAGGATTTGTTGTATTGAATTTATTAAGTTTTCTTTGCTTAAAGGAAAATAATTGCCTAAATAAGTAAGTTTTTTAACATAGAAATAGCACAGATGATAACACTTACTGGTTTCAAAGAAGACAGTATTTCTGAAATTCATAAAAATGAATACTCAGGCATAAACTCAGGATGTACAGACTGAAGAAAACTGCAAAAATGATTCTGAAGAGTAAAAAATTGACATAAAAGGCATCTGACTCCAACTTCTGGCCTCTGCACGTACATGCAGAAAGATACTTTGACATATTCAGGGCAAGAGGAAATGGTTTAGTAAGTAAAAGTGCTTGTCTTGCAAGCACAAAGACCTGAGTTTGATCCCTAGCTCCCATCTTAAAATGCTGTTTGTGGGACTGGTAAGATGGCTCAATGAGTAAAGGTTCTTGTTCCAATCCTGATGATGAGAGTTCAATCCCAGGACCCTCCCTGGAGGAGGATCACATAAGAACATTTAAGTTCCCATTATAAGTGTATAGGTCTGAAAAAAGGGGCAGTTAGTAACTGAGAAGTGAGAAATTATGAAGTATAGAGAAAGTCCACTAGCCCCCTGCTTTCAGTTGGCCTTTGTATTTCTATAGAAGGATTGAAAAATACATAGACATTGATGCTTCAAGATCCATGCAGTAGGAGTATTGTTTTTTTGTTTTTTAATCCTAACTAGTTTATTGGGCTTGCTAACAGAGCATAAGGTGGTGCTTTATTTACAGAAGAGTGGGCACACGCACACACACCCCCATTTATGGCTGTGCTGGGAAGTCGTCCACACTCAAATATAGACCCTGTGACTTCCCAACAGCCACACAAAATGGTGAGAAAGGGCCTCATGGCATTCTTGGCTTATATACCGTTAGCCCCTCCCCCACATGCAGCTAAGGTGGACTGATTCGGTGGAGGGGTAACTGACTCCCCCCCTCAACTCCTTGAGGAATGTGGGAAGGAGGTGTGACTATAGCTTGCCAGCATAGTGGTCGGAGGACACTTCCAGGTAATACTCCACACTTTCCTCTGGCTCTTAACTCTTTCTGCCAACCTCTTCCACAAAAGTCCCTGAGCCTTGAAGGGGTGGTAGGTGTGGGATGGCCTTTTCTCCCATTGTGGGAAGCATGAACTTTTGGGCCTCTTCATCATCTGTTTTCCATGGGCTGTTGGCCCATTTCAGTGGGATTCCATCTACTATAAACACAAACAGTAAGAAGAACATCTAAACAGTGGCTGTTATCATAACTTAATACATGGGTGTGAACACAAATGCTTGGATGGTACTTTAGCAAGTGCATCACATCCACACATCCATCTGACAAAACAATTGCAGTGGCTTTCCACTGGGGCCTATATTTGCAGTAGGAGTATTGTAAGGATATCTTTTCATTAATCACACCTTCTTATGTAAATTTCTCTCCCCACCCATTTTGTAATTTATTTGTAGATCAGATGTATTGTTTTCATGATTGTATGAACTTTTTTTTTTTTTGTCTTTTTGAGACGGTCTCCCTGTAGCCCCAGCTGTCCTGGAACTCACTATGTAGACCAGGCTGGCCTTGAACTCATAGAGATCCTCCTGCTTCTGCCTCCCAAGTGCTGGGATTAAAGGCGTATGCCACCACACCTGGCTTGTATGAACTTTTTAAAAAATGTTTTTATTGAATTTTTGTGTATTTCATATATAAAATCATCTTTATACCTCCTTCCCCCTTCCCCTTTGGCACCCTCCCATAACCGCCTCCCCCCACTGGAGTTCATATATTCTGTCATTTGTATTAAGGCCTATTATGTAAAGGTAGTGTCCCGAGATGTCCCTCAGTGCAAGTTCATCCACCAGGCTTTAGTCAGCCTATCTAGAGTCTCTCCCTTCAAAAAGATCTGTTCTTCCTTACCCAGCGATAATCAGCTACCAATAATTCTTCAACTAAGATTGGGGCTTGCTGTTCATTTCCACAGTTCTATGCTGGGTTTTTGTCTGCCTAAGTTTGCATGGGTCTTATGCATGCTGACACCATTGCTGTAGGTTTGTAGGAGAAGAGTCCCAGGTGCCTGTAGGACTATTTTTGTATGGTCATGCACCTCCTCCCTGGCTCTTACAGTCTTTCCACCCCCTCTTCCAAAATGGTCCCTGAGCCCTGGGTGGGTAGACTTCATGAGACCTGTCCAAGGACCCACACTCTGCTGACTTCTATTCTCTGTGTTCTGGCCATTTGTGTCCCTTTGTGTTCCTGTTGCATGAGAGAGCTTCATTGATGAGAACTGAAAGATGCATTAGTGTTCTCTGCTATGTTCTGTGAGTCTTAGGTGTAGAGGTTGAATGTATGAACTTTAATGACTGTTGGTATCAGTATGGATTCATTTATCTCTAAAAACAATTGTTTCTGTGCTGGAGAGATGGCTCAGTGGTTAACAGCACCAACTGCTCTTGCGGAAGACCAGGGTTCGATTCCCAGTACCCACATGGTGGCCTACAGCCATCCATAACTCCAGTTCTGGGGATCTGATGCCCTCTTCTGATCTCCATGGGCACTGCATGATATGAGTGCACCTACATACATGAAGGCAATACACTCATACACATAAAATTAAAATAATAAAGCCAGGCATGATGGTGCACGCCTTTAGTCCCAGCATTTGGGAGGCAGAGGCAGGCAGATCTCTGAGTTCAAAGCCAGCCTGGTCTACATAGCAAGTTCCATGCCACCTGGGACTATAGGGAGACTCTGTCTCAAAAAGAACAAAAGAAAAAAAAAGAAAGAAAGAAAAAAATTAAAATAATAAATAACATATTTTTAAAAAACCAATTGTTTCCTAGCTTTGCCTTTTGAAAAATATGATAATGGTTAGCCCAATGGCACCTAGGTGATCATCTCTAAAATCTATTTCCTCCTAATAGTAACCAGGAGTCTTAGAGAAATGAGTCATTCCAGATCTGGGGCTGGACCTTTAGCTTGGAATGTCTTGTCAAGCCAGAAAGCAGTGGAACTGTCAAATACTAATAGATCGTGTCAAAGGACATGTTGGACATAGAAGTTGCCTCATAAGGCTTCCATTGACTAAAGTGGGCAGTGTGAGTTCAAGCCAGTAAGAATTATAACCATGAGTTGAAGCACAGCAGATATGTACAAATCCCTATGCTTAGAATTTAAAATATAAAACTAATTCATCACCTTTGGAAGGTTAATATGAAATGAAGTCATGCTTCTGAAAACTAATGACTAAAGGGAAAACATCAGACATTTATCTGTGTGAAAGATGCTTCCAAGTAACTAAGTAATTAGACAGGAAGTTTGTCTTTGAAGAAGATAAGTTAACAAGAAGTGATTGCTTTAGACTGTCACTATTCAGAACCTAATTAAGTCAATGACTCTTGCTGATAATTGCTAATGTATACTAGAATCACAGATAATCAGTCATTGTTTCTATCCCAATAAAAGTACATAACACTGCTTATGAAAGAGTCTTGCAGAAAAAGAAATCAAACTGGAATCTGATCAAACTACTTAGTTAAAAGTATCAGTTTATAGGAAAGAAAAGGATGAAGAACAGGTTAAAATAAAATATGCTTGGGAATATAGTAACATCCAAACACGCTTCATTCTCTTACAGACACCTTTGGTGTTTATATTAGTTTATTTTCTGCTATCATAACAAAATATTGGAGATGGGCTTCTCATGAAGGAAAGAAATTTAGTTTAGAGTTTTGGAGGCTGAAATCCAAGCAGCAGGCTCACTCTGGGGCCTCTCTCAGCTGTGTCACTTCTTGCAGGATGGGAAAGGGCAGGTATGAAAGATTGTATCACCAGACAGAAAATCAGAATGATCAGACTCCAAAATTCATTCTGTGGGTATGAGATCAATTATCCTAAGGACCTAATACCAGCGCACCCCTTAAAGTTTTCTTATCTCTGCCGTACCACCAACTAGGGACCAAACTTCTATGAGTTTTTGTGGAGTCACTTAAATCATAGCCAAACCACAGCCATGTCCAACTTCAGCAGCAGTGGTGTGAACCTTGTCAACACCTGAAACCTTTCTACCTTGAAAATTACTACTTCACAATCTTATTTTCTCATAACTTTTATTTCTTCCCTTTTTGAATTCAGTTTATCCTGAATTTCACATTGTAGGAAGTTGTTTTTTGAATGACTCCTCACTGTAGTTGAAAAATGATCATAATTTAACCCAGCAAGATGTTAATAATTTTTCCTTTTAATAAAAGCTAAATGTAGTTTGTCAATTCTTAAAAAAAAAAAAAAAAAAAAAAAAAAAAAAAAAATAAATTATGAAAAAAAAAAAAAAAAAAAACTAAATATAGTTCATCAGCATTAATGTTAAGATAAAGCACGTAACCATTTTTTTTTTTTCTTAGTTGTGGAGTCCACTTTGGTAGCTAACATTGTACAGAAAAAGGATGGATTTAGGTTCTGCTTAACTGACTTAATGGTCAATTATTAACTTCATATAAAACTGTTGTAATGAGATAGAAAGATGGCTCAACAGTTAAGAGCACTTACTGCTCTTGCAGAGGACCCAAGTATAAAGCACGTAACCATTTTTTTTTTTTCTTAGTTGTGGAGTCCACTTTGGTAGCTAACATTGTACAGAAAAAGGATGGATTTAGGTTCTGCTTAACTGACTTAATGGTCAATTATTAACTTCATATAAAACTGTTGTAATGAGATAGAAAGATGGCTCAACAGTTAAGAGCACTTACTGCTCTTGCAGAGGACCCAAGTTTAGTTGCAAGCACCTGCATAGCAGTTCACAAGCATCTGCAACTCCAGTTCCAGAGGATCTTACACCCTCTTCTGGCCTCTGTGAACATGATGCATTCATGTGGTGCATATCCATACATGCAAGCAAACACACACATACAATAAATATTTACAACTGTTGTCATCCAGGTATATCGTGTTAAGATGATCATTGTGATTAATTATAAATTATTGGGATAATTTATTGTAACAGTATATGCAAATACTAGTAACTTCAGTAGCTGAGGAATTTTGAACACTTAATTTGTTGAGGGGCTGCTGGAGAGATGGTTCAGTAGTTAATAGTGCCTGCTGTTCTTGTGGAAGATCTGAGTTCAGTTCCCAGCACCTAGGCTGGGCAGCCCACAATCACCTGTAATTCCAGCTCCAGGGATCCAGTGCTGTCTTCTGGCCTCCTGTGTATCTGAATACATGTGCACAGACACTCAGGCAGAGAGAAAGACACATATACACATAAATAAAAAATAAAATGGAGGGTGGAAATGGTGTAAGTATAAGGTACTTGTGTGAAATTCTCAAAAAAATCTTAAAAAATAAATTAATCTTAGCCGGGCGTGGTGGTGCAGGCCTGTAGTCCCAGCACTTGGGAGGCAAAGGCAGACAAATCTCTGTGAGTTCAAGGCCAACCTGGTCTACATAGTGAGTTCCAGGCCAGCTGGGGCTACAAGGAGACCCTGTTTCAAAAGACCCCCCCCAAAAAAATTAATCTTTATAAAAAAAATCTTAATTTGTCTCTATATGTTGTCAGTCTGGCTCTACTTTCTAATGCAAAGACTGTTTTTCTTTACTTAGTTTAATAACATGTTTAATAAGCTACTGGGTAATGATGAAGAAGCCTAGCCCTGTTTATTCATTTGGGTAAGTTCCAATCATTTTATTTTTTGCTAAATTCTTGCTATTAAAATAGTAGTAGTAGAGAGTTGGCTGTACTGTTTCTGGAAAATAAATGCTGCCTGCTTAGTGACGTGTCATCAGATAGTGAAAGGACAGAGAAAAGTCTTTTCTAAGGGTCTAGGCATGGCAAATAATGAAAATAGTAATCATATTAAAATATTTGTATTTAGTTCTTTTACATTTTATGAAACAAACACTAGTATAAATTGTATTTACTAGTGTCCAGTAAGTTCTTTAATATTTTGAAAATGGTATTTTAGTTGTGAAGTGAAGGGTTTTAACGTAATTGAATTTTGTGTTCTATTTTAAGATT